GGGCCGCGGGGGCGGGCAGAGGCCGCGGCCGGCCTGACCGACCCGTTGTGTTTGCAGGAGCCGGAGGCTGCCCGGCGAGCGGCAACGACTTCCAGTGGTGCTTCTCGCAGGTCAAGGGGGCCATCGATGAGGACGTGGCCGAAGGTAAGGCCCTGCGCCCCCGACCCGCCCTGCGGACGCCCCTGGTGGGCAGGGCCGTCTCGACATCGGCCCTTCCTCTCTTTCCCCCTCTGCGCCTCTGTCCGCCCGCGGTGAAAGGAAGGCCCGCGCGTCCCCTGACCCAGCGGACCGCCGTGGGGCTGCGGGGGCTCCCAGGGTGTCTGTGCTGGGGGACGAGGTTGAGGGGAGCCCTGTCCCGTCGGAGAGGGCTTATGTAAGTCACCAAGGTCACTCACAGACAGAGCGGGGACTGCACAATCGCCCGCCAGACCCAGGCTTGGGGTCTTTCCAGTAGCAGGAGGCGTCCTCCTGCATTGGGCGGAACCAGGGGGAATAACTGCAGATGTCGGAGACTCAAGAAACAAAATTGGGATAGCTGTACTGAGAAGGTGCACTGCATTAGAGGATGGCCGTACTCTTTGCACCGAGCTGGGGGACTTCAGCCATAGACTCAAAGCTGTCTTAGTCTCCTTAGTCTTGGGCAAGCTGCCTCAGTCTCTTCATTAAAAAGAGTTGGAGTACTTGATCTTTAAGGCCCGAAAATTATTGAAATTTACTGTGAATTCTTTCTCCTTCACTGGTAAATTTTCAATTCCATACTCCAGATTTAATCTTGAACCTTATGATAATGCTTTAAGTTGGCTGGTCTTTTATTTAATCACAGCCTTATTAAGTGGGCCAAGGAGCAAAGCTTTAGTGTGGTGGGTGGGGTACTCGGTAGTATTTCCTCCTTCAGCTTCCCACGAAGCTACATGTCTTTTCAAAGAATAAAGATATTTCTTTATTCTTTAGTTGAATGTAGAATGAATTCATAAAGATTTAGAATTAATATTTTGGATTTATAATTACATGTGCTTTTTTGTATGCGTGTGGTGGTGGTGATCTATCTTTCTGAACATTGTGAACCTTTAACCTCTCTCAAAAATCTTTGTCTTTGCATCAAATACACCTTCCTTTCCCCAAGTTACCAAAAATCTCCGCCAGATGTCAACTTTCCTCCACCTTGGCCCCTCCCATGACCTTTTGCTCTCCTCCTTCACCCTATACCTCTTCCTAGCAGTGTCTAGTTTGACAAATGACCCATGAGGACAGATGAAGCTCCCTGGCCCCATGAGACAAACAGTGCCCAAGTTATTAAGCAAATAGAACTGCTGCAAGAAATTTGTAAAGATATATATGGTTTGAGATAAAAGTAGGTGATTTTTATATAACCTAGTTTATTGATTCTGTTTTTTTTTTTAAGAGTGATTTATATATTACTTTTTTTGTTGTTTGTTTTATTTTGAATGCGCCAAGCAGGTGACAGTTCAGTCTTACACAAGTGTGATTTCTACCTGGAGTAGAGTAAAACCTGTTTGTTTATGGGTAGTAAAGAAAGTACAGAGGGCTTAATGCCTGTCCTTTTATTTATTTATTTATTTTTTTCTGAGAGGTTTTTGCTATAGGGCGTGTGCGCTCGCCAGACAGACAGAGAAAGACCAAAAGCGACAAATCACCCCTGGGGCGGATGGCCATGCCTCAATCCCTTCTCAGTTCTCTTGGGATCTTGGGCACACTCGCACATGCGCCCGGCTTGACTTTTAAGCCACTGGGTCCGTTAGTGAGTGGTCGATTATGTGGGAGTCCAGAGACATAGCCATTACGCTAACTGATAGTCCCCTTTTTTTCTTTTTTTTCTAAAGATTTTTGCCCTAGAGCCGCTGGTGCCCTAGAGAGACAGAAAGGGACATGAGTTGGCCATGTGGGATCCAGTGTCGTAACCACCACTCCAACTTCTGGCCCCTTAATACCTGTCTTAATTTCTGGTTTCTTTACTTTTTATTTTTAAAGTTTTTATTGATACAAGTGAATTAAATATAGATCTAGCTAAAGTGTATTTTAAGTGAGACTCATCAATTATGAAAATTGCATTCTTTTTAAAATTTGCTATAGGGTGCATGCACTCACCAGAAAGAAAGAGAAAATAAGAAACCTTTCCCCAGGGAGGATGACCATGCCACAGTCCTATCTCCTTCATTCTCCCCTTTGGATGTTGGACATGCACCCACATGTGCCTAGTGTATCTTTCAAGCAGCAAGTTCTGGGACTTGAACTACACAGCCTTTTGGAATCCAGCTGCCCTAACCACTGTGACACCTAGCTAACCCTTAAGATGGCATTCTTTTCCTTAAAAATATCTTGACAGAAATACTTTGTTCTCCAAATTAAACTAGTTGGAACTTTTGTAGTTTTAAACTATTTTAAGTAACATTTTGACTACATCTGAAGTTTTGGCATTTCTAGTTGTGGTCTTTGTGGTAATTAGCTATGTGTATTCTATTTTTTTTTTTTAAGAATTATTTTACTTAAATTTATTTATTTGTTTACTTATTTATTTTAATTTGACCAGGGAGGGGCAGAATGAGAGAGAGAAAGAGAGAAAGAAATGAGAAAGCGAGCCACCAGGTTTGGGATTCAAACTGTGGCCGACCACGTGGAAGTCCTGTGCCCTTAACCACCAGGCCAATGACCGGCCCCTGTGTATTCTGTTTTAATCCACATAGAGCTTGGCCATGGTAACTTCCTGGAATTAACACATCCCTGACTTTACATCATTTTGTCAAATAGTTGTGATAGAGTTGTATTATGACCGTAGAGTCAGTGGTAAAGGAAAACAGACCAGATTAACAACTAGAGATTGTTAAGCAACAAGAATAAACCGATTGTGCCCAAACTCAACCTTAATGGGAATGGTGATAAGAGATGATAGCAAATAGATAATTCACAGAGGTGATTGTCCACTGATACTTGGACTATGGAGCCTAGGGTACAGTAAAATTTAGCTACTTAAATTTGTGACTTGTGAGGCATTTGGTGCTTGATTTTTTTTTTTTTTGTCCAAGCTCAACTCTGCAGTTCCATCACAACCCCACACTTTAGACCATCTTTCTGCTGTCCCTCCAAAGGTAATCAGAAAGTGCATTAAAGATTGAGACTAGGGACCAGCAGTTAGCGTAATGGCTATGTTGCTGGACTCCTATGTAGTCGACCGCGGTTCGCTTCCCGGACCCGGTGACTTAAACTCACGCTGGGCGAGTGTGCACACATGCCCAAGATCCCGAGAAGAGAATGGAGGAGAAGAGATTATGGCGTGGCCAATCCTTCCTGGGGGGTGATTTCTCACTTTCTGTCTCTCTGTCTCTCTCTTTCTGGTGAGTGCACACGCCCTGTAGCAAAAAACCTTTCAAAAAAAAAAAAAAAGATTGAGGTTGAGGTCATCTCCTGACTAGTGGGTTCAATGCCCAATGAATATGAAGTGGTTCAAGGTAAGTGAAGGCATGCCTGACTTCGAAGGGCATAGAGTGAGTAAAATGGTATTTTAGGCTTTTGTATTGATTTCCTTTTTCTTTTCTTTTTTAAAGTTTTGCTATAGCACATGTGTGCTTGCTGGAGAGACCAGGGGAAATGAGAAATCATCCCTCAGGGTGGTGACCATGCCACAGTCTGTTTTCCTCCATTTTCCTTTTGGAATTTTTGAGCATGCATATACATGTGCCTGGCATGATTTTCAAGCCACTGGGTCTGAGACTCAAATTGTGGTCCACCACATGGAAGTCCAGTGCCTTAGCCATTATGCCGCCTGCCAGCCTCTTTCTTTTTGTTTTAAAACCTAAGTTTTGGGGGTCCTGAATAACTACTAGTGCAGTATTAGACTATGTAAGATTTAAATTTTCTTTTAAGGTTTTTTTATATGGCATGTACATTTGCCAGAGAGAGGCTGAGACAGGGAAAGTTAGAGATCAACCCCCCCCCCCTTGGTATAAAGAAATGCACCCCCCCCCCCCCCCCCAGGGAGTGGCCACACCATACTCCCTTCTCCATTTTCCTCTCAGGAATCTGGGCATGTGTAATTTTCAGGCTATCGGTGCTGGGTCTTGAACAGTGGTTGACCACGTGGGAATCCGGTGCCTTAACCATCATGTCACCTGCTGGCCTCATTGATACTTTAAAAAAAAAAAAATTAGGTTTTACTGTGGGTCAGGTTAGCCATCATGCTAAGAGTCATGATTCTGCTGTGCCATGAGCAATTTCCCATCTCCCTGCAAGTAGTAGAGCTGGGCTTACAAGGAAGGTCATACTAAATGACCAGAGCATGATCAGCAGTCAGTGGTGATTTGCCCCTCCTGTTCTGCCAGAAGGTGGGCAAAGTGAACTTGTATGCCCAGATGAGGAAGAGCCAAAATATTAATAGAAAAAACAGGGGGAGCTTGCTTAAGGAAGTGAGAAGAAAAGTATTAGCTTGTGCCTCCGAAATATTTAACATTCTAACTGGTGACTACTTTTTGGAAATTGTTAAATATTTGAGCAGATTTTTCATGCATGGTTTTGAGTCACTTCCACCCAGTCTCTACTCCCCTTTCTTGGACATACTTCTAGCAAGTAAATATCTTTTGCACATAGCACACAGCATTTCTTGCCTGTCTGGTAGACTGGAGTTGAATGTAGACCTAGTTAAACTTTAAGCATCCTTAAACTTGAAGGCTGGAAGCTTCACCTCCCAGCACCTTGTAGTGGACCCAGCATAAAATAATGGTAGCTAATAGTTGTCACATGCTTATTATGTGCCAGAGATTGCTCCAAGTACTTTATTTGTGTCAATTAATTTAATCTTCACACATCCTGACAGGAAGTAACTATTCTTCCCAGTTTCCAGTGCAAAAACCAAGGTACAGGGAGCAGCTTACTTTTGTCATGTAGCCACTGCATCCAGGGAAGGGTTTAAGGCCATGTGGACTGGCTCCAGAACCCCTGTGTGCTGCACCTTCTTTAGTGACTGTAGCCAGTACTGACAAAACCCCCATTGTGGGATGTGTCTGTCCAGTCTGGGGACGGAGCATTTTTCTAATGCTCAGCAGAGAGCTTAGTACTAAGAATTGTACAAAAATGCCTTTGAAAGCAAATGAAAAGGAGATGCCATTAAAAGAAATGCCTATCTGGGCTGTCCT